GTTCTAGCATGGAGCTGACTTGGATCCACTGATTGAACCTTGGGTCAAAGCGGTAGACAGCATTTGTAGCCAACAAACAAGTGCTGCTTGAGGTGCTCTCTATACTCTCAGTAGTTTCTCCTCCAATCACGTAGAGGAAGTTACCAATCACACAAGTGCAATGATGCTGAACTTTCACTTTTAGATTTGTTACCATCTTCCACTTATGAGAGTAGACATCAAATCCTAGAACATTCTCGACTAATTCCCCATTGGCTGTTCCTCCAACAAGCAGTATCCATCCCTTTTGGTTCCGCAGAGTGCTGTATTTATCCTGTAAAAGAGGTTGCTTTGAGGGGAAGGAATGATAGTTTATTGCTTTTATGATAAGATTTTTGATAGATGGTGTTAAAGGAACCTCTGATTGTTTGTAAAGTGACCTGAGGGTATCCAGTGACAACAGACCAAATCGGACATTTTCAAAAAACACTTTAGCATGTAATAGTCTGGTTCTATCATACTGTAACCACTTAAGAACTAAACTTAATAAACATTCTTCATTGACTTTTGGGATATTTTCTGATTTAATTAGGTTTATCATAGACTTTACATTTAATTCCACTAGCTCTGTCCATTCTATTTCTTCTTGTAAGAGATTCCATAAATTGTTTTTGATAAACTTTTCTGCTTCTTCTAAAGCATCTACAAGGTAATATTTTAAAGCAATATTGGCAACAAAGCAACAGTTTTCCAAGTCACAGCTTTTGATCAGGAACTTACTACACAACGGTATCGAATCCACCACTTGTAGATAACTTGCAGCTTCCAAAGTATCTTCCAAAGTGCTCAAGGAAAGTGACAGCCATGATGTGTATATAAAATCCAGAATGGTTTGCAGACCCGTGGCTGAGATAACTTTTAGGTGAATAACGGATGCCTTGGACTCTTTTGTATAATCTTTAAACATTGCTCTGAAGTAATCACTAGAGCAAGCCAGCAATGACTTATGTGCAGGGAACTCATGGCCATCTACAACTAGTGAAACATCGCACAAGTGTCTGTGAGTTCGGAGCACCTGATACTGAGTAAACACCAAGCCACGATGAGACTTGCAGAAAGCCAGAAAATAACTCATGATGCATAATGATTACAGATCAACTAAAAATACGAGCAACACTTACTTACTAGAACTGGACAGTACTGGAAAGTCCCAAGGCAGTTTAAAACATTTCTCAACCATGTTATACTTCTGTAATTTTTTCAGTGACATACTTCAGGTTTTTTTTAAGCTTGAGCAGCTATAAGGTCCCCTTTTGTAAATTTTGTCTTGGCTCCAACTGCTGTGTACAGTCCTTAATTATCCATAAAGCAGTTTTCCTTTCTCCCTTAAGGCAGAGGTCTTGTAAAACAGGCATCGTGGTCTGACAACTACTTCATGTTTGCACCATCGTATAAAATCAAAGCAGCTTCTGTTTGTAAAAATTTTTGCAGACGATCCTTTGTCGCTTCCAATGAAAGTATTTGTTAAAAGATCAAATCAACAGCCGTGGATTAGAGTTGGACTTCCCAAAATTAGAAGACTATAGTGAATATCCTGTTTAGTCACTGCTAGAGTTTGACAAGTGTATCTCGGGTCTTGTGTGAATGATATCATCATAGCTCACAGATACAGAAATAGAATACAAACACAAGACCGTGTCACATAGTTTTCCAAGATCAGAGTTGGAGCTGAAAAGCGGCAGACTTGTTTCTACAACAAAGCCAGCAGATAATTTTAATAATGTATTCTTTATTGATTTTGTTAACAGTGCATGCTTGCTTTGAAAACCTATACATTTTCATGATCAAAATACATGATTTGGCTGTTTTAGCATGCTAGTTTTGTTTTGTAAAACCAATATTGTTCTATATACTATTGTAATTTTAAAGCCCAATTAAATGTAAAGTTTTCAATCCATGTGGAAGCAGTGGTCCCTCCACAAGGTCTATCTTACCCCCTGCTGAATCAGACTCATAGCAGTGCAATCAGTCTAACACTTGCCCCCTGCTGATTGGAGGGATATAGCATTTGGACTTCTGTAGAGAGATCACTGCTTCCTTCACAAGGTCCTACATTCCAGCATGATGGCAGGGGACAGACTTTTCTACCCAAGCTGAGACAAGGAACTGTAAGACATTGCACACCCTTTGTTTTGATGTACCTGAAATGTATTTATCTGATTTAATATGAAAATTATGTTAAGCTGTAATCTAAATCACAGTTCACCATCTTTGGTATACTTCTCTTTGAAGATGTTCTGAATTGAGGCTGATCCACCATTATACTGTCAATATGAAAACTAAAGCATTAGCAGAACACATAGATATCTCATCACCTAATACTACTGAGTAGCTTCACCTGAAACTGCAAAATAAAAAAAAAATGTAATTTGGCATACTATTTTGGGTGGAACGTGAATCTCACCACTTGGACAGTCTTAACGGACGATTTATGCATTTCCTCTGCAGTAATCCTTCATACTTCCTACTTGTGTCAGCGTGCAGTCTTTTAATGCAGTGCTTTACCAAAAGAAGAAAACGTGAAAAAGAAGAAAAAAAATCTGTAGAGGAAAAGCAGTCACAGGAATAACTCCTACATGACACAATCGATATACATATATTACCACAGCCTAATATTCTCATTATAATATCAATGATATCCATTGCAAGTAAATATATTAACATCTTGCTACCTACGTGTTCCACTTTCCTCTTTGTATTATTGGTAGATTTTTGCAGCAGCACATTTGAAAGCATTTTCCAATGTTTTTCATTGGAACAGATTAAATATATATGTCTTTGTTATGCATGGGCAGGGGATTCACAGTGTCTATAGCATTATAGAAAACTTAAGACTAGCCTACTCAGGCATTTTTGGTTTGTTTTTTATTTCAGTTCACTCTTTAAATTGGATATTTTGGAGCATAGTACTCTTATGCTAGCCATACAAGTAAGATGTAATTGTTTGATAAAATTACTGTTTTGAATGTAGCACACTGTGAGGAAGGCTGAGTAGCAGCCTGGGTGTAATAGCCAGAAGGTCAAATTGTGATCAGGAGCTGAGAGGCTCTGCAGGCCAGCTCCTCTGGAATTTCCCACTGCTCTAAGGCTTTGGAGGAAGACCCTAGAGGCAGTAGGTAGATCTGAGGAGTGTCTGGCTGCACTCTTGAGTAATTCTGGCCAATCCCCAACAGGTGATTGGAAAGGGGATGGGACCCCTTTAAAAGTGTTGGAGTCTGCTCACTGGCACCCAGAGCAAGGACCACCTGTGTGGCAGGGAAGCAGTGACCAAGCTAAAAGGCCTGGAAGCAGCCACCAACCCACCTACGTTACAGGAGAGAATCTGAGTGAGTACCCCTGCACCCCCTGGGCATATAGAGGAAGGAGCACTGTGGTGGGAACCCAGATTTGACACCTACCAGTGACTGTTCATCTCTTAAATTGAGAGGAATCAGATCCCCTGTTCAGGGTTACCTCCAGATTGCTGGGCGAAGAGGAGAAGTTCATCTAGGATCTTGGGTGGTACATTGGGAGGCTGGCTTGCTCTCCATCAGAAACTGTGGTGCAGTGAAGGCTTATGAATAGTTCTAGAAAGTTGTTCTCAGTTCATCAGTTTCCTTGGGCATCCTGTACACCCCTAACCCTAAACTAGTTCAAATCCTCTAAATAAAACAACCAAACCAAAGCTCAAGGACTGATTTCTGACTCTGGTTGCAAGTCTGTGTGAGGATGCGTGTTGCCTGGCTGTGCAGGACTATAGGGGAACCCAAATATTCAGCAACTCCTAAGGGGGTAGTGCTACATGAATAAACACATTTCTTTTTCTCTGATGCAGCTAAGCAACATGCTCATGTCTTGTTCCTCCCCACGCCTGTGACTGGACATTGAAAGGAGATGCAAAAAAATCAAAGGCCTTATCTCTATGTCACTCCGCTCTTTCTTCCTATCACCATGTTCTTGTTAGCACATGAGCACTGAAGCCCAACTGGCTCCCTTTGCTGCTTCTCCCTCTCCCAATGTGTGCTCTGCTGTACAGTGATTGCAAGAAGCTAAGACCTATTCTATTCTATATACTACTGTAATAAACACATTCTGTTATGTATTTATGAATATAGACATAAACATAACTGTATGCATATCTTTTAGCCACTTCAAGATTTTATCTTGGTACCATGATAAAAGTTTGAATAGTAGAGTACTGTTTAAAGAAAAACCTTTTACATACAGTGGCATTTAATGCTGAAATGTTGAAGAAAAAAACATGGGCTATTGTCAAGGAAAGCTAAATGCCAACGTAATTAGTAGATCCAGAGATATAAGCAGTTCTACGCAGATTACAATATTTCCAGTAAATGTCATGGCTAGTCCTGCCCCCTTTTGCCCCATAGCCTGTTGTCAGTAAGGCTGAGTATTGTGTACCATTATGTATATCCATGTAGGTGCGCTTCCTTAACCTCCCTAGCGGTTTGATTATGTCCATATTTCTGTGCTCAAAGCGGTACATTTTTTTGCATGGAAATATGTATTTTTTTTATTGTAGGCCTGTAATTTTTAGGAATAACTCACTGAAATCTGTCCGAACAAGAGACTAGTAAACATCCCGGGTAGGATAAATCTTGAAACACGAAATCATAAATTATAATTTAATAAATAATCACAAAAAATAATAATATAATAATAAATTGAATTCAATAATATAATCAAACCAAAAACACTGAAATGTGAAATATAGCGCCAAGTTCGCACATCACTGAGCAAAGTCGCAAAATCGTTTTCAGTGTCTGATGATGAATTTCCCCACGAATCATTATCACTCGATTCTGCAAGTGGTTCTAATTTACTATCGCTGTTCTCTAGCTGACCTAAAACCGCGCTTTTGACCTAAAGGGACACTTTTTGGACGCCACGGACGTTTCTCAGTTTCCAGGCAGAAAGAACAGTAAAAATGCAGGCAGGGCACAGGACAAAGCACTCAGGACAAAATGTATGTGAAATGGTTTGATACAGTAATGTTATACTATGTGATTTTTAGTGAATTTAGTGAATGTCACTTTTTGTCATTTTCAAATTTCCCGCCGTTCCGTCCTTTGTACGTCCCAACGCTCGCAGGGGACAGAAGCCAGATGACAGATGCCAGAGGACATTGCAGGGGACACTGCAGGAGGGACATCGTGGGAGCAAAGGACAAGGTAAGTGATCAAGGGATTCCGGAGCAGCGCCGCATGGTAAGCCGGAGTGTAGCTCGGGGTTACCGCTTGTGGTACTGAAACTTTACCCCGAGCTACACTCGGGAATACCGCCAGGGAGGTTAAAATCAATAAACAGCGATAAAAGTATATCAACAAATAAACTGCATCAAATCAGCAAACAACCAGTATCATAAAAGTGTGCTCATGCCAGTGAAAGTACAGGTTGTGCTCTAATTATTACACAATTGTGAACCAAAACTGACCATGCAAATCATCCAACTGTAAAGTGAATTAGCAGGTCAGTGTTCTCATCATGTGTCCTCCACCACAAGTTATAAAGCCTCTTACCGGACCCCCATGATCTCTAGTTTAAGCGGAGATCATAAAACGCTCACCTTGGGGATCGGTGCACACAGGCAGACAATCTTAAGCACACAACAATGGAACTCAAATAATTCTGAATGTGCCCTTGAATCCGAGCCTTCAAATCCTCTATACAGCAGATCTCACACTGCAAGAGGAAGGACCCGAGGTTTTCATGTCCTAGCAATAAGGCATGATGTGGGGATTGCAAACTAAGAGTATTTCAGCCAGGCTTCCAGGGGGTCCCAAATGACTCTCAGTTCCAGAATTATGTTCCTATGGAACCCAGTCCCACTTCATAGCTGTTTTCTCTTTGAAGAAGTTGCTGTTTGTTTCACCATTCTCACAGTAATTTTTCCAAAATATTTTCTGAAATATTTCATGTTTGAATTGTTCCTGTTTTATCTTTTTGTTGTTCTTTCTGTCATGCTGTAATGTGCACATACTGTAAAGGATTCTGCAGTGGAATAAAGGTATTTTCCATTATCTAATATTCCAGCAAGATCTACGCTGAGAACTTTGTGGTGATGGGGAAAAATTTACTTACATTACTTGACAGCAGTAGAACAGAAGATGTATGTTTGCTAGAGTGGTTGCTCTCCAATATTCCCACACCAGTCTAAAATCATGCAAGTGACTTTGATAAGAACTGGCACAATGTAGAATCCAATCTCAGCCTGACAGAAAAACAACAGAGATATAGATGATCTCAACAGCGAGATAGAAAAAAGTCAAACATGGGAAAGAACAGAATAACATCAAGAGCAGAACTAAACTAGATGTTTACTGGGCAAACACAATGTCCGTTGCCTACAGTACTGTGCAAATTAGTTGGAACAAACAGGATATTAGAAAGTGATAGTTGCAGGTTCAAATATGTATTTTCTATCTGCCAGTAATTGATATGGCCTTCCTTAACCTTAATTACCTCCCTTAGCCTCTTAGGCATTGATGCCACTAATTTTTCACAGAAATCCTTAACTTCAGGGTCCCTAAACCATACTTAGAGAACAAGTTCTAGCATTTACTTTTTTTTTTGCTGTGTGATCTAACTTTCTTATGCGAGCCTTCACAATGGCCCACAAGCTTTCTATCAGGTTTAGGCTTGGTGAATTTCCTGGCCATTCCAATACTTTTATTTCTTGTTGGATAAAAGGTCCTTAGCAATGGTGGACTGACCATTTGGACACTGCCCGAGGGCCCGGGGTCAGTAGGGGGCCCCATGAGATGCCCCTGATACCTTTTTCATAGGCTTTTTTTGAGTTTGGGCAAGGACACAGGGGCCCCATGATCCCCTATTGCCCGGGGGCCCCATGAGTTGTTAGTCTGCCCCTGGTCTTTAGTTAACTTGGAATTGTGGCACGGAGCTAGGTCTTGCTGGAACACTCAATCTCCAACAGGAAATCACCTCTTTAGTATTAGGGTCAGTTTTTCCATTACAACACCTACTGCCCATCATGCCTTTAATGGGATGAAGTGTTTCTGGTCCATAAGCAGTAAAGAACTCCCAAAACATGACTTTAGGTGGGTGTTTAGAGGCTGCTGGATGTGGTCAGTTCGAACAGGTTCTTCAGGCGAACACAGAACAAAGTTTGACCTGTATCCATGAACATAAAAAGTGGTTTCATCTGAAAATAGTACTTTCTTGCACTACTCCAAAGTCCAGTCTCTGATTCTTTCCCCATAACAACTGCTTCTTCTTCATAGTGTATAGCTTTGTACCTAGTCTGTCATGGACAATAATGGATATTGAACCCTATATGTGAGCCCTTAAAAGATCCAAAGTGCAGAGTCACAGTGTCAAGGTCCTACCTTTTCCCAGAGGTAATGTTACTGCATGTGCTGGCATCCATCTTGGATTTCTGCTGAGCATGGTGGGAATCTTTTATGCCTTCAGGTCTCTGAGGTCCATCCCCCAGAGGGGTGTGGCTGATTACATATAAGCCTGTGGTCCGCACATGCTCTTTGCATTTGTGTCTTTGTGTTTCTATAACTCTGGTCTGACTCTCTTGACTCTCCTGGAATCTGACTCGGCTTGTGACTCGACTATTCTTTGTGTTCTCCTTTGATCTGACCCTCTGTTGCTGAACCCGGCTCGTGACCTGTGATTCTCGTCTGCTGTCCTGTACCGTTTTGTCCCGTTGTTGTCGACCCGGCCTGCCTGACTACTCTATTGTCTTTTCCACCAGCTACGCCATTGGCCATTACCGCAACTGAGGTGTCTCGGGGGCCGCGACCTGGTTCCTGGCTGCGTCAAGTCCATCCCCACCATCAGGGGCTCTGGTGAAGGGCAGCCTGGGACTTAGACTCCGCGCCCTGAGGGACTTCGGTCTGTGGGTGGTGGTTGTCGCCAGCCAGTGTGTTACATTGTTATTAGGCCTGCCTGTCCGTTCCTCAGCTCCTGCCCTGACACACAGTACACACCACTAGATCCTCACCAGGGGGTGAAAAACTTTACTGGAGAGTGTACCAAGTTACAGACCTCAGACACACCTGCGTATATGGCAGCTGGCGAGCAGAGTTTGGTACAAAGTTGAATGAGACAGACCAGAAGTTGGGGCTGGCAGCAATCAAGTGTAGTATTTGAATAGAAGCTGAAGTCGGTAACTGTAAGTAGAAACTCAGGGCAGAAGGGACTAACCTATCTGGAGCATTGGGCTAGGAAATTAACCTGTTTCTCAGGCAATAGGTGATGACCCAAACACAGCTAAATAAATAGTGAGATTGACTGACAAGCTGGGCAGAGTGTGTGTAGCTGTTATATCAATCAGTGGGCTGGAATCATGTGATGTGTATAGCTCCCAGGCCTCAGGATCAGAGCAGGCTACAGTCACAAGGTGGGAGAAATTACACAGAATTGCAGATTGAAACACGTTGCTGGTGACATTCATGATGCAAATCAATAAGAGAAGTTTTAAAGCCCATCTCCAAGTCCTGACCTTTTTCTTTAGATGCCCCAACTCCTGAAACTGATAAAGAAATCTGAAAAACTTTACTCACCCTCTCCTTTCCCCAACACTGCCCCATGCATGCTCATCCATAGAACAGGGTTAGTCCTCTTTTGGGTTAAATGATGCCCCTTGTTATTGAACCCACTCCATGTAAGTCCAATTCATCAAGTACCCTTTCTCTAAAAGTGAATCATCATACCGCTGAGGGCTCATGTTTTGTAGCACTATTCTCTCCATTCAAGGATCTGCCCACTGCTGGAGCATAAAAAGGACAAAGAGGATCCATGGTGGGACCAGGCACTTCTAAGGGGGTATTGATCTCTAAATAGAATACAAAAGTGCTTAAATCTTCATCACCTTCTGAGAATATGGTTAGAGAACACAGATCATGTACTTTGAATGCTGCTGGATCCTCTTGTTTGGTGAGCTGTTTTTTATTTTACTATCTGTCCTCTGGCTTTGAGCAGGTTATTATTTTCTTTCTCCCATATGCCAGTTACTAATTAGTCATATAACAATGCTAGAAGCATATTTCTTTATGCCATTAATTCATTTAGTTAGACGTTCCAAAAAAGGAAAGCTTTTCATCCCTTTCACTCTCTGTATACACAGACATAGATTTCCTATGATGCAGCTTTTGTATTCTAATGCATATTGACCTTTCATGTTCAAGCAATGGTTTACCCTTCATTTTTATAAATATCTACTTTTATCTCATTACAAATTAATAAAAAAAGAAAATACTTCTGTGAAATTACATTTCCAAAATGTGACAGAGGGGAATTTCATGTATAAAGCTTGCAGTGAAGAAGACATATGTTGTGTCACAGTGGTATCCTTTAGTTTTTCCAGAGATGGACAACAGGGGTGAGACTTCCGCATTGAGATGCTGAGTGTGAATATTAGATCATAGCAAAACACAAATGTTTTTAAGTCGGAGGCCAAGGCACCCTGCTATTAACTTTGTTCATAAACATTAATTCATTAATATTAGAGCCTGTTATTTTATTATGCCAACCAAATAACAGCATTCCTTCTAAATTATATTCTGAAGTCTCTTTAAAAACATTGCCATAAAAACTTTAAAGCCCAACTCTGGGATATTATTTCTTTTTTAAAAAGTCTCGAACCTAAAAGAAAACAAAAAGCAGCAATACTCACATCCTTTCCAGCTCTTTCCCCTGAAGTTCCTGTTCACTGCCACAAGATGTCCTTGGTCTCCCAGTTTGAATGATACTCAGTGTTGTTCAACTTAGAAGACTGAGGACATACTGTTAGTGCAAGGCATTGTGAACATAGCCCCTAAGGGGTGTCACTACACCACCTACCAACATTAAGACCTTGTCAGCACTCTAGAATGCAGCAATTTAAAATAAGAGATGGAAATCGCTTTATTTGCTATGGCCACCATAACAATTAAATCAGATCCACTGCTTCTCAATCATCATCTCTCATATCGAGTAAAAAATTAGTCTGAGTTGATGCACCGGGACCATTTGGTTTCCGATTTTCATTTGCTATCTGTCATTTGCCACTTTTGATTTATCCAATGCGGGTTTCATCACATTATTGACTGTGAGATAATATAAAACAATGCGTTTAAGGTCACTCTCTCATCAAACAATATTTGTTCCTTAAGGTTGATTTGATTAAACTGGCAGAAATTCAAATGTTGGCTTTTTGCAAACATGGCAACAGAAGTCTTGGGATGGTGATTTATTCTTTCAGCATACAAGTCACATGCTGATGGCATGAAAGCATTCATCTCCTTCATGTGTCCCTGAGATGCTAATAACAGTGCAGATA